TAGTTTGCCTCAGTGGATAGAGTGTCAGTCTGGGGCTGAAGGGTTCCAGGTTCGATTCCAGTCAAGGGCACGTACCTCGGTTGCAGGCTCCATCCCAGACCCTGATTGGGGTGCATGCGGGAGGCAACCAATCAATGTTTCTCTCTCTCTCTCTTTGTCTTTCCCCCTCCCTTCTACTCTCTCTAAAAATCAATGGAAAATATCCTCGGATGAGGATTAAAAAAAGGTAACACATTGTATGTTCCATTTGTTACAGACGTCACATCAGCAAGCTACCAGAGGATGGGAGTAAGGAAAGGAGGCTGGCTACAAAGGGGCGTGAGGGAGTTTTTTAGAGTAATAAAAATGTTCTATATTTTAATTAGAGTAACTACAGGACTACATACATTTGTCAAAACTCATCAAATTATACACATGGGAGGTAAATTTTATTGTACATTAATTATACCTCAATAAACCTGGATTTTTAGAAGTCACTCTAGCTATTTGGAGGATGTATTAGATGAGGGGGGAAAAGCTGGGGTGCAAGGAGAGAAGTCCCCGAGTATGTCCAACTACTTTGGACATCCTGAGTTTGAGCTATCTCACAGATGCTGAAGTAGAGCCATTCAGCAGAGAGTTGAGTTCTTTGAGTCCAAAGTTCCTATCATCATACAATAATCATATCCTGTAGTCTTTTTTAAATTTATTTTTACTATTGAGTTAGAGACCTGTTAACATTCCGCCACCTTACCTCTCTTTGAGAGTGGAAACTATCCAATCTCCACTACACTTTCCAATACCATAGCCAATAGTCACAAGTGGTTATTTAAATGGCAATTAATGAAAATTCAATTAAAAATACAGTATCTCAGTTACACTAGCCTCGCTGCAGGTGTTCAATGGCTACATTTCCATCATCACTGGATGGTGTTGCCCTAGAAGATTATATCAGAATTTTCTTATAGTGCTAACACTCATTGATTTCAGGGACCACTTCAGAGTAGCTGCCAAGTAGCACAGGTTCTTCACTATTCACTGATGACAGTAACATCTCAAGGCACTGTTTTTACAAAGTGGATGATGCCTGCATAAGCTGTTAAAGAGCTTCACCTTTCTGGCTGGGGTTTTTCACTGAAAAACCTAACTGTTTTAATTTTTTTAATGATTTTTTAAAGAGGAGGGGTTTTTAAAAGTTTATTGTTTGGGCTTTCTTTTCCGAAAGACAATATTAAGAGTTTCAACTTTTTGTTTCTACATTAGTGAAACAGTTCATGAAATGGGTCCCTACCCCTCCTAATTAGCACCAGATTCAACCACAAAACCATGCTAAGTCATGCTAAGCTGTACCCTTCCAACTGAATAGAAAAATCAGAAAGAACAGAAACTCCCACAAGGTAGTTAAATTACCCAATTTACTTTGTCTTCTTACTTTGACAATGGCTGTTTCAGATTAATTATTTGATACTACTTCATAGCATCCTAATATGTGTCAGCGCTCTCTCTCTGTAGGTCTCTTCAATTACATTTCTATAGAGAAGTAGGGGTGAGACTGCCTGGGTTTCTCTGAGAATTAAAGGGTTTACAGGTTAGCAGCTTCCAAATTAGCAGGTTCAGAGGTGCCATACATGATTTTGCTCTTAGTCCCCAGTGAAAGCAATTAACAATATGGATAACAGGAATATGTTTTTTTTCCGAGTCTGGCACCTCCCTTGGGAGAGCAGACACCATGCTGACAGTGCTAAGTGGTTCAGGATCCTTTCATCAGGATGCGGCTACTCAAATTCTCCATGGGAACTATGCATCAGAGAGCACCAAAGAGCAAACTGGTGGGTGGCTCCTTCAGAAATTATCTTTATGGAAAAATGGGATGGGGTTTTAGAAAGAAGAAACCATATCACCCCTTGTTATAATCCATTTTCCCTTCAGAATAAAGGGAGTATCAACACAGTGCCAGGCACAGTGTGCACCTGGCCACAAGAGCTCAATAAATCCTTGCTGAATAAATGAGTGACTTGAAAGCCCGGCACACAAAAGGTATTCCAGAAATTTATATATATAAAACCCTAATATGCAAATAGACTAAACAGCAGAATAAACAAACAACTGGTCACTAGGACGTGCACTGACCACCAGGGGGCACGCGTGGAACATGGCGGGTGTCAGTCATGGCAGGATGGTGGAGCAGGTGAGCAGAGACACCAGACCAAGGCGGGGTGCCAGTCGCTGTCATCAGGGTGAGCCTCTGGTGGTTACTAAAAATTCTTTTCTCCCGTGTGCTGCGGTCCCACCCGGCACTCGCACCTGCTGCCTGGGTTGGCCCTGCTCACACCCACTGCTGGCACCGGCCCCAATCGTTCCGCACCATCAGCATGTGAGAGCAGTGGTGGCGGGAGCAGGGCTGCCAGCAGGCAGGGGACTGGAGGCCATGGCGGGAAGGAGCCAGGCAGGAGCGTGAAGAATAGGCCGAGACCTGCCCCTGTGCTCACCGCAGCCTTATGGCCCACAGTTCCTTTCAAGGTGCACAAATTTGTGCATTGGGCCCCTAGTATGTGCATATCACCCAGACACAGTCCTAGGTGCTAGGGAAGGGTGGGTGGGTATGATATTTACTGAGGAACAACTGTATGATAGGCTCATACAGTATGCAGGGTAGTGTAATGTGGCCAACAAGAGTTCCAGGGCCAGATACCTGAGTTCAAATCCCAATGTGGCCACATAATGGGAGGCCTTAATTAAGTCACAGGATCAGGCAAACCAGGATCAGCTTCCCCATTTGGAAAAAGGGGATAACATCTATGCATCATGTGTGGTTCTTTCATGAATTAATGACAGCACAGCCTGGCATATGGAAGACAGGAAATAGAAAAATGGTAAAAATCCCTAGTAAGGGCTAACGTTCTTTGAGGCTTACCTTGTGCCTGTCACTGTGCCACACATTCTAACTGTATGACCTCCAAATTCTCATGCCAACCCTATTAGGTAGATACGATTCACACTTTCTCACAGGTGAGAATAGTGCGCAGAGGGTGATGACAGGTTAGGGACTGAGCTGGGTTCAACCCAGGCAGTACGTGCAACGCACACTCCTATTCACTCACTATACGGGATTTTCCACTATTCGAGCATCAGCAACCACTTAAAAGCTTAGGCACTGAAACAGGCACTTTGCATTCAGGTTTTTTAAAAATGAATTCCACCCCAAAATCCTGTGAGGTGGGTTAAGTTCCATCGCCAAAGCTCAGAGTTCTGCGACTTGCCCAAAGTCACTAAGCGCGGCCCCCAGCCTCGAGGAGCAAACACCTAGTTCACCACCCTGGCCTTGGGGAGCCACCCCTCGTCACTCGCTTGTGCGCAATCTCTGCGCTACGGCGTCCCAAAGCAGACCCTACTCCCCGTATCCCCGCTAACGCCAAAACCGTGTTCGTGCCTGCCCTAACCGCCCGCTCGCACTCTCAGGACTGACAGCTCCCGGTCACCGTCTAGCTAGCTCATCTCCACAACACCGGCTGGAGGAGCCGCCCCACCAACCCCGAGATGGACCCGGCAGCGTGGGGGAGGGGAACCGGGAGAGCGCATGCCCAGAAGGCTCCATTTGGCCCCCGCTCACCTGGGAGTCGCGGAACTCCACCACCACATTCTCGCTGCTCCATCGTGCCGCCATCTCCCACCCGGGTCGTCCCGACCCCCAAATCCGCTTTCTCGGGTTCGGGGAGCCCCACACAGCCCGAAAGTGAGCCCTGCCACGGCCACGCCCCCCTCTGCCGAACCGCAAACCATTGGCTATTCCAAGCATTGACTCCGCCCCATCTTCCCGGTTCCTCCAATTGAGGCACTGCGCCTACCGGAACAGGCACGCCCCCTCCACTTCCGTCACTCGGCCGAAATCACACAAGCACCTCGCGACTGCTGACACACGCCCCCTGCCGCAAGATCTATTGGGAGTTGTAGTCCAAGGTCGGAAACTCTTGGGTAACCCGGGTAGAGCTCACAGAATAAGATTTGGTCGAGGTGAGGGACATGCTGTCCTCCCTGTCTTCTCGCTGGTGCCCCGGTAAAGCCTAGGATGTCTACAAATCAAAGCCCAACGTTCGTGCAAACCAAAGGTTACCTCTTCCCCTGAGGTCTGCCATGAAGTCGTTATAGTTTAATACAGTACAGTAGCACCTGCCAAAGTATTCAGGGACCCCAGGGGTTTCCGAAGCCAAAACAATTTTGATAATCATACTAAGAGGTTATTTGCCTTTTTCACTTTCTTTCTCTCAAGAGTGTACAGTGGAGTTTTCCAGAGGCTACGTGATATATATTGTAACAGACTAAACGGTAGAAGCAGATTTGAGAGAATCCAGTGGTTTGGGTTGTTGTTGTTTTTAAACGTTTATAAGAGTTTATTTGAACCAAACAGATGACATATGCCAGGGAGCAGATCTCAAATGCTCCTCCAGTGGTTTTTTAATTGAGTCAGACATTAAAGATATTTGCCACTTTTCCCACTGAAATGTTTTTGTTTTGGGAAATATAGTTATTTTTCACTTATAAAATGTATGATTAATGTTAATGTGCATTAATGTTTAAGTAAAATAATGAGCAAATATGTTTTAAATTCTAAGTTTCAATTTCTAATAGTTACTATCAGTAGATAGCCCATATAAAAGTTTGGTGGGCATGGGGGTGAGATCTTTAATAATTCTTAAAAATGTATAAGAGCCCTGGCTGGTTTGGCTCGCTGGATAGAGCGTCGGCCTGCAGACTCAAGGGTCCCGGGTTCAGTTCCGGTCAAGGGCATGTGCCTTTGTTGCGGGCACATCCCCGGTGGGGAGTGTACGGGAGGCGGCTGATCAATGTTTCTCTCTCATTGATGTTTCTAACTCTCTATCCCTCTCCCTTCTTCTCTGTAAAAAAAAAATCAATAAAATGTATTTTAAAAAAAAGAATGTAAAAGAATCTAGAGATCAAAAAGTTTGAGAACTGCAGTGATAAGCATGAGTGGGGATTAGGTTTTCTTCTTTTATTCTACCCTCTCAAATCCTGGCTTAACTGCCTTAGATTCAATTTATACACACACACACACACACACACACACACATATATATACATATACATATATATAATTGATTTCAGAGAGGGAGAGAGAGAGAAACATCAATGATGAGAGAGAATCATTGATTGGCTATCTCCTGCATGTCCCCCACCAGGGATTGAGCCTGCAACCTAGGCATGTGCCCTTGACTGCAATTGAACCTGGGACCCTTCAGTCCACAGGCCAACACTCTATCCACTGAGCCAAACTGTCTAGGGCTCAAGTTTTTTTTTTTATAGAAAGGAGAAATGACCTACTTCATTTATTTGGTTGTTGTATGGCATTAACCACAGGCCTGCAATGTAGATAATACTCAAATATGAATTATTGTTGTTAATATTATCACTATTTCTATGTGCAAGTCCTTGTGTGAATAGAGATATATATTTTTTAAAAAGCTTCCCTTCCCTCCTGAACTGTTGGATATAATGGGGAGGACAGACTTATCAACAGTTAGGGTGGCCAACTCATCCCAAGAAATCTTTGGTCCAGACAAACTGGGACAATTGATCACTGTACAATAGGTATGCACTTGGCAGAATGAATTTGGTTTCATAAAAGACTTACAAGCAATGTCACAGGAGAGGACAGACTAAATGGGGGTCCTGGCAAAGCATTCTAAAGAAGGTAGCATTTAAGCTTTTCAGTATAATATTCGGATTTCAATAGAATACACTATCCAAAAAAAGTACTTCAGCATGGAAAGTGTGAACAAAGACCTTGAAGTGTGAAGAGCAGGACACATTCCAAAGGCGTAAAGCAGTTCCCCAATTAATACTCATGGCACCGTGCCCCTTTCTTTCCTTCAAAATACATCACAATTTGTAATTCAATATTTATGTGTTTGTTTCATATTTTTAAGCTTCGGTAGGACAGGGACAAGGTCTGTCTTGTTCAGTCCTGCATGGTGACTGCATATACAAGGCACTCCATGAATATTTACCCAGTGAGTGTATGTGCAAAGCATATAAAGTTGCCGAAACCGGTTTGGCTCAGTGGATAGAACGTCGGCCTGCGGACTCAAGGGTCCCAGGTTCGATTCTGGTCAAGGGCATGTGCCTGGGTTGCGGGCACATCCCCAGTAGGGGGTGTGCAGGAGGCAGCTGATCGATGTTTCTCTCTCATCGATGTTTCTAACTCTCTATCTCTCTCCCTTCCTCTCTGTAAAAAATCAATAAAATATATTTTTTAAAAAAATCATATAAAGTCATGCCCCCAGAGTGCTGTATAAGTCAAAAGGATGCCTTCTATGAAACCAAAAGGTAATTTTTAAAGCTACTCATAGTCTTGCCCTGGCCAGTGTGGCTCAGTTGGTTGAGCATCATCCCATGCACAGAAAGGCAGCCACTTCAATTCCTGGTTGGGCACATACCCAGGTTGTGCTTTTGATCCCAGTTGGGATATGTGAGGGAGGCAACTGACCAACGTCTCTCTCTCTCCCTCTCTCTCTCTCTCTCTCTCTCCCTCTCCTCACTCTCTAAATAAACAAATGAAACTATGCACAGTCTTTATTTGTAATTCTTTACACCCAGAATAGAATACAGAACCACCAATCAGTCCCTTAAAATACTTTGCTTTCTTTCCCATCCATCTCTCAGTCATTCTCACAAACTGCAGCCCTTAAAGAACCCTAGGGCCTGGCCTCCATCCCCCTGTATTGGCCTGTCTTCCTGCCTCCCAATTTCCTCCCAGTTCTCCATCACAAAAGGCCAAAGACTTCTCTGGAGCGAAGGGCCTCAGCTCAGAGAGCCAGGAAGGGGGGAAACTGCAAACCAGGTTCAAGGGCAGGGAGAAGGAAAGCTGAAGAATACTTTCTATGGGTGCTCATGCCATCACATTGGAATATACAGTATTGTCAATGTCAGAAACATCCAAACCTATAAAGAATTTTTATAAGATTTTATTTGAGCCAAACTGATGACAATTGCCAGGAAGCAAGATCTTAAATGCTCAGGAAAATGACAGTTTGGCAGGTGTTGTGTGTGTGTGTGTGTGTGTGTGTGTGTTAGTACATTTGAGATAAAGGGAAGGCAGGAAGGGAAGAAAGATTACATAAAGGTGGGAGAAAGCAAGGCAGGGATTGGATTATAGGATAGTTAACAAGATTACAGTAGTATTTGCTTTCCTAGAGTGGTTAACCTTATTGCAAAGGTGTGTTATCTTGGATGCCCAAAAAACAATGGATGGGCCTTGCTTAAGGCAAAGATAAAACTTTTACTAAAAAAGTTATATGCCTTCCAAGGCCAGTGTGGTTCAGTTGGTTGAAGCATCATCCATAGATTGAAAGGTGGCAGGTTCGATTCCCAGTCAGGCCACATACCAGGTTGCAGGTTTGATCCCAGGTTGGGGCACCAACAAATCGATGTTTCTCTCTCTTCTCTTCTCTTCTCTTCTCTTCTCTTCTCTTCTCTTCTCTTCTCTTCTCTTCTCTTCTCTTCTCTCTCTCTCTCTCTCTTTCTTTTTCTCTCTCTCTCCCTCTCGAGATTTCTTTCTGAAGTCAATAAAAATTGTTTTAAAAATAAAAAGTTATATGCCTGAGGTGTGACTACCCATTCTAGCCTGCCCAGTTAGGAATTTATGATCAGATCACCCTGTGAGGTTATTTTCTATAGAACCCCTTTATAGTAATCAATATGAATTAATTAACACACCATATCCTTAGTTGTTTATTTACCTTGAGATGTCCATGTCCTGGGTGCTCAATAAATATCCACTGAATGAGTGATTAGTAAATAATCAGGGTATCTGGCAGGTTGCAGCAAGAAATACAGCTAGAAAAGTTGGAAAGGGCTAGTTAAGAAAGATCCTGCTTAGGGAGGTGGATATAGATATATTCCAAAGTCCTCTGTCTGTCCCTC